AGGACACCAAATGCAAGTAAGGTTGTCGGCTTCAAGCCTACTTCCTTATATTCCAATTTGGTTCACTTATGCATCTCATGTTTTGGTTGGATGTACTATGCTTTGCTTCTTTAATTGCTCATAAGTTGACTTAAGTGGCTGCAGATGAAGCATGAAATGAGTGCAATAGAAAGCGAACAACTGCATCCTGTCCTAAAACACTTATGACTTTGATCCTGCAATGTCTTCTTTTCGAGAATACTCTGACACGCACTCCAAATTGGGCTGTTACAAGATTTTGTGTTCACATCCTAGCTGGTATATGGGAGCGACCTGTAGGCCCATACATTAGAGACTATCCGAACACAAAACAGCCTGCCAAGGTATGTGGGTCCAAAAATCGGAATCGGTTGAGCACATGGCTTGCACAGGACGTCAAATAGATTAGTCTAATGCCAAACTCGTAATTGGATATTGGGACTATATCAACCTGTAAGCAAAAGATTGGGCAGGCCAACTCTTTGAACAGAAGAATTGAGTGTAGCAAGTTGGGTGGAAAAAGACTTGTTGCTGTTGGATAGGCTTAGAGTGTGAGAGAGAGAGTGAACGGACAAGAGGAGGAGGCTTGAATAGGCTCGAATCGCGTTTTGACTCTCACAGCACACTCATTTCAAGAGCAATGTGCTCACAATACGCGTTATTTGTGAGAGGCAAGCAACATTTATACTATGACAGAGGATCCAGTACTACGTACGTTCCAGAAAGTTACGAATACGAGGTCAAACCAACAGTATATAGCCAAAGGAGGCCACACTTAACCTAATGCCACATAATCTTGATCTTTATATCTTCACACAAATTAGTTAAGATTAACATTTGAAATTGAGGTGTGAATTTCATCCCAAGCCATATTTTTCTAATTCAAAATGTTTCTTCATTCAACCTTAGCAATAGGCGCGTTAGGCTTGAATTGACGATCCATTCAAAACACTTGATTTCAAATTCTTTGCCTTTTCTTTAAATCTTACAATTATTAGCTTGTATACTAACCTCACTTCTCCCCGTAAACAACTATTTGGACATACGTTCCCTGGCACTTATTTCTGATTAAGATTAGATTGAAAAATACGGTTTAAGGTCCATTATGGTCGTACAGTTTCGTGCAAATATTCAAGAGCCTTATTTCTCTCTCTCACTTTTTTTAACTTACTATAATAAAAATTCATCCGGGCCGAAGTGTGACTGGGTGTCACTTTACTTTTTATTTAAAAATGAAATTGACATTTATTCAGCCTCAAAATCACTAATTTGTTTGCCAAATAGCTACTCATTCTCAACATGGTTCAATGTGCAGTGGTACATTCGCGGTTCAAGCCTACTTTTGACTTTGCATTTGCTTAATTTATTGGTTGTAGGTAAACTGCGATATTGACTTCTTGGTGTTTTTTGCTCGTGGAGTCATGCATTTCTCTATAAAATTGCATAAATTAGCGAAAGTTTGAGTTTGCACTCAGCAATGCCGCTTCAACATGTTTTTGCCGACTGAGGTTGGGCAAAATCTTGAGACAATTGAACGCGCACAAGCTATGCACATTTATACTCTTTATTCTCATTTTTCCACTTTGCACAACCTTGTAGGATGCCCTGGGCGAAATGCTCGAGGATCTCGGCATGTTCGTGAAGCGCATTGGCGAGCGAGCCGGCATTCGTAAGCACCGGCGGAGCCACGAGCCCATGGAGCACGGCGGCGATTGCGGCCTCGATGCTCTCGCCTGTCCCCCCAAACGCCTCGGCCATGCCGTCTCACATGCTCGCCAGTCCGGTCAGCCCGGCCTGATAGGCCGCTCTCAGTCGCCCTCACCCACGGGCTACCATGCGCTCCACACTACGCGACCCGGCTCTCTCACCTCATCCTCGGTCGCCCTGGCAACCGGTGTACCTGCTGGCTCTTTGCCGCCGATGGCGTCGCTTGCGTGCGGCTCGAGTGCGGCGTCGAGTCCTTCGGGTGCGGGACAATTCGGCTTTGCGGGACAGGGCCAAGCGCACTCTCGTGGCCAGTCACGCGGCCCCACTCCGAACGTGTCGATGGGCAACTCCGTGCCTCAGCTCGGCCAGCATGTTCTTGCCGGCCGTCTTGCGACGACGTGCACAACCACGCCGCCCGGTGTCGTCGGGCCACCGGCTGGCACCGGCGGCTCGCTGCACCAACCGAACACTCCTCTCTCCGAGGCGACTCTGTCGACGGCCGGCACACCGACCCCGGTCGGTGGACCTCCATCCGTGCCCGGTCAGACGCTGGCGTCCCAGACAGGTCTGGCGGCGGGACAATCGTACGCCACGCATTCTGTGCTGCAGCGCAACTCGCCCTCCTACCAACAGACGGCAACTCCGCTCAACAGTCTTCCCGCCTCATCCTCCTCTTCCTCCTCCTCCTCCTCTTCCTCCTCCTCCTGCTCCTCTTCCGGCTTGGGCAGCTCGCTGACCGGTTGCAGCAGCAGCAACAGCAGCACTAGCAGCGCCAGCGGCAGCGGCAGCGGCAGCGGCGTCGGACAGACGCCCGGTTCCCTTGGCTACCCGGCCAGCCCGGCCTGCGCCAGCCTCGTCGGCCCGGCCA